CGTTGTATCACTGCTTATGCTCAATGATATCTAAAAAAGTTAAATGTGAGGTATTTTAAATTCTAAAACTTTGAGATACAATTACACATAACCCTGTGTTTTAATAGATGTAAAATATAAATATATCACCTAGAAATAATCCCAGGAAATAGCATATCAGCAGATCAATTTAAATATCGATTGATATACATGATACCTACTACATAGTGCGTGGTTCGGCATGGCATGCCAGCCGTGCCGAAGAGTCAGTCGTATTTGTCACATGATTCGTTGGGTGGAGGGTTGATCATGGATTTGACGGGTCTGTCCGTCGTCACCACCAGTCTTGCGTCAATTCCACTTCAATTGAGCGCCGTTCTCATTAGTCTAGTGTGGGCTTCACTTATGTACGGCACCTTCAGGATGTATTTGGGGTTGATCCTGGGTTGAGTGGTGACTCAATTACTTCAATAATTGAGAAAGAGAGACACTGGCAGCGGTCCACTCTACCCATGATTATGGGGTTTGGTCAAATTTAAGAAATGCTTTCAAACATGCTTTCAAATGTGCGTGGTAACCGTCGCATCTATTCAGAAGTTATTCAGCTTTTGCTCCTGTCTAATTCCTTCCAAGTTGGTCAACGCCCCAGCAATCTTGACTAAGTGTCTGGAACATTAGATAAGAATCAAAAGTTAGTTAGAAGTGTCATCAAACAAATGATACGACGTATTCCAGGGTGATCTGCTGAAGACTCAACTAGTTTCGGCCTTTGAGGGCCATCCACAGGAGTGTCACCTAGCAGAAGTCAAACATTTAATAAACTGATATCAGTTTATTAAATTTTTGACTTCTGCTAGGTGCAGACACTCCTGACAAACTTTTTTGTGATCCTTTACTGCTTTATTCCGGGGCGATTGTGGCTACAAAACTCGATATTGGCTTGTTTTTCCACCTCAACGTCAGCGAAAGCTCTAACAAAGAATTAAAAGTTGCTACTTGCGCATTCTTGATTGGACTAAATCAAATAAGTCAGAATTTGTGGGTTCACGAGGTATGTATGTACGAATTTATTCGATTTAGAAATGATATTATGATTATGAACCAATTAAGCAACGAAATACCTCACAAAAATGTGAGAAATTTCCTGAGCTGACGTGGGCTGATCATGGGGGAGGGGTATAAAGGGGGGGTATTGTTTAACGGTGTGCTTAGTTGGTTTATTTCCCGTGTCCCCGCTTCTGCATTAATTTAAGCCCTTATAGTAGGTGGTCAGCGTATATGACGATCGCATCCACTGACTAGCCTTTTAACAGGGTATCCTATTAGTGCTTTTCATGCAACAAGTAAAACAAATCCTTTACGTCATGTTTCCAGGGTTTGGACTGGAATTGCCCGCTTAAAGAACTTCTATAGTATATGGGAAAAACTGTCTTAGTGGTGGTATAATATCATATTAGGCGGCTGCAATATTCTGCTTGAATATCCTGGAGTTTCTGACTTACTGAGTTACTCTCAGGTCTAGCTGTCTGAATATGACATTGGCTTCACGTGGTGCCGTGACATACCAATACCATGGCTGTGATCCAGTGGTGCACGCTGCCGCCGAACGCCGCCACCGCCGAATTTTTGTTCACGCCGTCTCGCCGAAAAATAAATCAGCAGCGGCGTGAAAGAATTTTGAAATATCTTCCATCGGTAAAATTAAATTTATTTATCAATCCTGTATCAATAAATATGTCTGACGTCATCAGCTATAAACGTGGCACATGCAATGTTACATGTTATTGTGCATTTTAGCATGCTTGGGCATTTTCTTAACCAATTCACGTTAAAATAAATCAACCATAAATTGAAACTGGAACCCAAGTCCCAAAGCAGTATTTTGAGGCCCATCCCGTACAGAGACTGCATTTATGTTCGACTGAGTCACAAATTGAAATAGTCCATGCTTAAAGCATCAGTGATTTCTAGCTTTATGGAAACCAATTTTTATCAAACTACCCCGGTCCTGCATTTCAGTGTTATTGTTAACTTTTACAACCCTTTCGGCGTGAAGTGGTTTCATCTTAGACAACTTTAGGTTAACCTTGACATCACGCGGAGCTTTCCTAGCACTGTTTAATTACCTCCCCTGAGTAATATAAACTATAAGCAATAAGTATAACAACGTCGGACAATGGCATATTTGACAACACGATTTACCGTCATATCTAGAGGCTGGAACAAGTTTTTCATGTTGGCGGGGACTAGCTCATGAACTATGTTGTTGAGTACCATTATTTCGTTGAATTTTTCCGCCAATTGACCCTTGAAAAGAAGGGCCTCCAGAAGACCAGGGAGAACCTTTCCGTTGTTAACTTACGGCACAATAAAGTTCTCATAGTTTGTAGTTGTCTTATTCTGGACACAAATTTCGTAGTGGAAAAATTTTTGAAAAAATTCAACGGACTTTAACTTGGATGGACCTTAAATGAACGGACTTTATTTGATCGGACGGGACATTAAAGGATGAGGGGACCTTAGAATTCACTTCCAAATATTCGCGTTTAAGTCCTGTGAAAGTGTGTAGAATCAAAAAATACGCCGGACTGTGAAATCGATAATTCGTGCAATATCACGCCGCGCTCCTATTGGCTGATAGCAATTTTGGGCTGTGACGTCACTTATGTGTTAAGACCAACGTGTGCGCGCACACTTCGCTCGTGTCAACATTTTGTTCTTGGTTCTGTTCTGTTTTAATTACGTCGTGTTACCTTTGGCGTTTGCGAGAGCGGTATCTTTGGTTGCACTGAATTAGTCTAAGTTACGAATAATTCTCTTTAATAGTTAAATGTAACTCAGAAAGGCTTACTTGTAGTTGTAGTAGGTATTTCTATTTATAAATAGCTAAGATAAGTAGCATCCGCTAACTAAACCACAAACTGCTATTTTGTTTTGACTTGTTTGAAACCCGATATGGACACAATTAAAAATCGGCATATTTCGTTATACAAGAATAAAGGAATGTATTTTCATATGAAATGTGCGATTAACAATATAAAATCAAGTGTTGCAATCGGCAGAGCTCAATCAAATCAAGTGTTGCAATTGGCAGAGCACAATACATATGAAATAGAAGATATGTTGACCGACCCACTTAATATATGTTTAGATTGAATGTATGATGTAGTAGAAGACATTTTACTAGCTGGCCATTGGCGCCTCTAGTCCTATCTGAGTGCGCACGTGCGGTTTGACACAGCGCGTGTACCGGCCTTTAGTTGTACACTCATTTATAATTTACCGTTTTAGTTTGCTGTGACTTGAGTGTAAAGCGTAACGAATGTGGATGTGTTCGTCTGCTACGTATAATATTGCTTGGTGTAATAGTTGCAAATCTTGCTTACGTTATAAGTAGTGTCACATAGTGATTTAGAACTTAAAAGCTTGGTGCTTGGTGCTTGTCCAACTGGATGAAGACATGCATTTCATACCTACCCGATCCATTTTTATTAGGACCGTGTTGTGTTGATATGACATGTTGATATATCAACTGTGGTACGATACAGGGAGTTGCTAGGTGTTACGTTGGGAGCTATAAATATACATAATTTACATGCCTTTCTGTGTGACTTCAATCTTATTTCAGTTGTATCTCGGCTCATGGTTATCGTAGGGTGATAATTCTTTTTTCAAACGGTCATAAAAAGTCTCCTCTCCATTGGTTATAGGCTCGTTAGTATCGTAAATTGTTAATGTATTCTTAATTAGTAATTTAGTCGGCCCGCACGCTCATTTTACCTGTATTTCTATATGCGCGGATCAGAGCAACTCACATAATTGACGTCACAGGTTCAAATTGTTTTGGCTGGATATCTCGGCGCGCGAATGAAATACAACTTTGCGGATTTCACTAAAGTGGTTTATACGATTAATGTAATAAAAGGATTTGCACGAGAAAAAAACTTTTTCTAAGGTCCCCTCATCCTTTAAGATGAACGTTAGGGCCTCCAGGGTTCAATTAATGTCCGTCCAAATAAGGTCCGATAAGGTATTATTAAATTTTTCTCACTCAAATAATATACTCGCTGTAATAATATACTGCGGTTGTAATCAATATTATAATTGCATTTTGTTGTCCAACCAAAAACTTTAAAATTAAAACTTGAATATCATGATTTATTTATTAAAAAAATAGTGAAAAAAAATTTGATTACACAGTGAAAAATAATTTGATTGATTAAAACTCGAGTGGCTGCAGTCCTGATCCTGCCCGACACCACCAATACGCGTATCGATTACTGTGTGCAAATTATTTGCCCATGGAACAGGTTACCCGTATAATTTTATTTCACAAATAAAATGTGTGTACATTTTTTATGCAAACTAAGATTATAAATGCTGCAATCTGCATATTAAAAAAGGAAATAGAACTTTGTTTTTTTCCCAAAGAGACGAAGGCCGATAAAATTATAAAATATAATGTTTAAATTTTGATAATAAGTTTATCACTTACTGATTTCTTTCCTGTTTGCAAATATAGAATCATTACCCCTTCTGTACCTTACTGCAGGTTATCGGAGTGCTTTAATTCATTTTTGTTTTGTAGTTGCAAGAATTGAACCCTAATACTTTATTCTAATATTTTTTTACAGTATGTTGGGATTTGCTATCCTCGCCACATTGCTGACCCTAACTGAGTCATGTCAAGAGATCCGAGTCAAAGCGGAGGATGGGGGCGTAGTACTCGGACGCAGTTTGGAGTTTCCTATTCCCCTGGACTTCCACATGTTAACGGAGCCTGCTGGTACTAAACATGAAGCCCACCCACTTCCCAACTGTCCTGGTGCTCCTTTTTCTTTTACTAACCGCTACAAAGAGATCGTTATCCTGGGGAGATTTAATGGCAACTGGTGCAATACTACATGCGACGGGATAAATGAAGCAGGACTATCAGCCAATGTTCTCCTTTTCAAAGATAATGCTGAGTAGATCCTTCTGATATCTCTGGTGCCGCATGTGATAATGCCATTCCACAGACCATGATCCCTGCATACATCCTGGCTACCTACGAAACGGTAAAACAAATCAAGGATGATCTGGAGAGTGACAAGTTTCCAGCTGTGTGGGCTGGAGACGAGTTTGGGGCAGTGTTGCCAATACACTTCAACATAAACGACAAAACTGGGGCAGGATTAGTGCTGGAACATGTTAAAGGAGAGGGAGTGAAGTGGTATGACAATACAGTCGGGGTACTGACAAACTCTCCAACCTTCTCCTGGCACATGAGCAATCTCAGGAACTATCCTCACTTCCAGAGGAATGACAAAGGAAGAGAAGGGTTAAAATACTCTTCCCAGGGAGAAGACTACTCGTATGGCCCACAATGGTCCGGATCTGGAATGTTGGGGCTACCTGGGGATTACACGTCACCTTCGCGCTTTGTTAAGGCTGCTACTCTTCTCGCCCTGGCTCCAAAACCTGCCACTACTAACGAGGCTATAGTCCAAGTTTTCCATCATATGGCCGCGGCTGATATTCCCTACGGAGTTGTGGAGACTGGCCCACTGGACCTAGCAATCTTCACCTGGTGGACTCTGGTTAAAGATTTGGAACGGAGATGTGTCTACTACAGGTCTTACACGGACTTGTCGGTGAATAAACTGTGTTTGGATGATATTTCTGGTGTGAAATCTGCTGTGAAGATGGAGGGGAGGTTTGAGGATGGGTTCAAGGACATTTCAGGAGAGTTGAAGGATTTTGACACTGTTTTACTTGATAGACATTCCGAGCTGTAAACAATAATCAGTCGTTTAAAACATTTGGGAGAGTTTAGAGATTCTCTAGCTCTAGAATATTATAGTTTTATATCTCACTTTCTCTAAAAAGGATGTTAAATACTTTAACACTTTATCACACTCTTATCTTGATCTCAAATTTGATTTAATCTTGATTTTGAACTAGTTAATTTTCTAAAACCATTTTTCATCGAGGAAGCATGTCAGCATTTTTTAATTTTTTAGAGTACTGACTGCTGATTTCAGCGGAATCAATTTGTCGTTTTAAATCCAATGATTTTAAATTAAATTAATTATTGAATTTTATTGAACAACTTTATTTTGATCTTACTTGCAGAGTCTAGCGTTGGTACATATATCATAATTACACTGTCATGAATACTTTAAACTTATTAGGGGAGGAGCGCTCATAGTGGTCTGTTTGGACTGTAGAGAGAGGTCATACTTTCATACGACAATGTTATGCATGTTTTCAAATATGCGGGTGTGGTGCGGAGTAAATAAGGGTTAATTTCTATTGATTATTGTTTAAGATACTATTGTTTAAGATACTATTGTATACGTGAGGGCACTCCGAATAGAATTGCTCACCTAATGCCGTAATGCGGGTTTTGACTCAGTGGGTAAATACTCCTACCCTTTTTAACTGCGGCAATTAAATCCCGGCCGAAGGCCGGGTTAGACTAATATTCGCATAAAACTATTCTGACTGGTCTGACAGAAATAGTTCATAAACCTTACTGGGCGGCATTGACGCAACTCAAACACTATACCCGAGTCCACAGTTATTTCACTCGAAATTCTTGGAGCTATTCCACGTAGTATGATAACGAAAGAAAATATAATCAGTTTGTGTTCTTGTAAAAATCTTAATACTCCAGTACGCATGGTGTACTCTGCTTTGCCCTTTTACAGAAAGAAGTTTCATTTAGAAAAGTTAAATGTGTGATTTTTCACGTTTGCAAATCTTATTTCTCAATTTCCATTGCTTTGTGAAAATAAAAAGCTGAGACACTGTTCACTACCATCATAAATTGAACAAAAGATTGTGAACATATGGAGGCTAAATATTTCTTTGTAGTTGGGCCACGGGCCTACAAATGATGGGGTACCAGGCGTGTTAGAAAATTAAGTTAACCATCTTGACAGACTTGATTAAATTGCAATTTCAAGTTGGTTAACTTGATTAAAATGGCTTACCAAAGGAACGAAAAAAGATAAAAAGAGCGCTGCAACGTACTCAACTCATTCGACGGTGAATTGTTCTGAAGAGTGTCTTACAGTAGTTACACATCTTTCCTTCTCAGCCCTTAAAGCTCAGCATTCGCAATGAGGTGTCTATTAGTGTTAACTCTGGTGGCACTTGCCACCGCTTGTGATGAAGATTGTCCTCACCATGACGATGACGAGCTAGCCATTTACGTGAAAGAAAAGCAAGAGGTCCGTAAATGGCAGGACTACAGTTTTAAGTTCGTAGTTGCCGCCGATAAACCTTTCTGCAAATGTAAGATCAACCTGAAGAAGATTGTGAAAGGAGACGAACACCCTGAACTTGTGGACACTGACTTTGATGTCTCACTAAGGACTCTGCGTGACGAGGAAATTGAGGAGTGGAAAGCAACCCTGGACCATCATCACCACTACACTCATGTGGTCCTGGGAACAGTGAAGACAGGGAGACTGAGTTGTAAGGACCGGGCACCTTACCTGGTGAGATACGGAGATCACCATCATCATGATGACGAGGAACAGAAGGATGGAGATGATCACCACCACCATCATGGGTTCTTCTTCCTTGACGTCCAGGGGTGCAAGAGACCCGACGAAGAGTAAATATAAGCACTGTTGAAAGCATTCAGTCTAATTTTTAATATCAACATATTAATTGCAACAGCTATAGATGTGGATACTGGCGGGGAGGTGATAATTGTTTGTTTACATTAATAGTGAGCACATGTTAAGCAGGCTGAGGAGGTGATAATTGTTTGTTTACATTTTAGGTCGAGCACATGTTAAGCAGGCTGAGGAGGTGATACATATTTTGTATTATAGAAGGTTTGTAACACTTGTAACGCCTTCTTCAAGGATGGTAAATGCGTTTTGGGGAGACTACGCGTAGATACTACGCATACGTATTTCCCGATGATAAATTACGTATTTCAAATTAAGTTGCAGTAACGCGCGAAGATACATATATAAATATTACATTACAGTGTATGGAATCGTGGCCTAATCGGTTAATACGCTAGCTCCATATCATCAGATAGCGAGTTCGAGACTTGGATAGGATCATTTTTTCCCATACTTTTGGCAATTATGAATAACTAATGAATAACTAAAAATACCTCTGTAATATAACTAGCAAGGTGAAATGAAATCGTCTTCCGGCCGAAAAAATTATTATAGCCGTTTTACAAATTTATTATAGCCGTTTTTTCTTTCCAGGCTGGATTCCTAGTCACTTTTTAAATTTATGCCACTGGGAAGTCCGTGTTAATCCGGTAACCGGTTTCAAAATTCAAGCAAGAGAGACTTGTGATCTTAGTCTGCGAATATTGTAATAGATAAAAATGCACTGGAACTGGGTCTCGGTTGAAAGTCTATTCCTCGAGGGAGGCATAACTGCTTTATACCCTTAGAAGCTCTGCTTTGCAGCAGACTGACTGATTGGTTGGTTCAGCATAAGAATAGCAAGTCGCTGCAGCGTTTTCATTCGAGCACCGTAAAATCTTCAAAACGACTGTCAGTATTGCTATATACCACTGAGCCAGCGACGCACGCGCAAATATCACTAATCTGTAATCACGTATTTCCATAGAGATACGCGCGTATTTTGAAAAATTTTACCATCAAAGAATTTAAGCGCCAAATTTTGCCGTATTTCACGTATTTCTTAGAATTTTTGAATACGGCGTATTTACAGGCGATTTTTTGACGTATTTACCATCGATGGCCTTCTTGTTACCCCCCTTTGAGGACCCCGAATTATTTTCTGAACGAAAGCTCAAAAATAACCGAGAAATCGACCTTCTTATTAACTCATTTTGATGACTGTTTCTGACCTAAAATTGCACGAAAAATCGATTTAGCTAGGTTTCAGAACCTATAAACACTTCCTTATCCCTCAAAATTGATGTTTTATAGTTAATACGACCAACAAGCAACATATATTTTGATCCTTCGGTTCTACTCATGACCTAGACAGTTAAGCTGAACCCGACAGATTGAGGCAATCCTCACCTTAACTGATCAAACTGGTACTAACACAATTTTCAGATATAAATGTTCTTTGCGATACGTTTATTGCAGCTTTGCAACTTGAGTGAAGACCAGAGTACGAAAACACACAGCAGGTAAGCAACTCACTTTTGGTGACTGTTCCTCACGAACATTCTGATCCTGTAACATATGAACAGGGAGATCGTCTCCTTAACAAATCGAACAGGTACTATCACAATTTCCAGAGCACAGCATGATAACAAAGTCAAAAGAAACACAATGAAGGTAGGTTACCAACACCACAATATAACAATCATACTGACAACTGAATTAAATGTATTCTGACGACGGGCAGCCTTGATGTGCTCCGTGGTCCTCAACGAGCGACACCACTTGTAATAGAGGTGTTATGTCATGTGACACCGATCCGTCCAATCACAAACAGGAAAAGTGAGCAGATCGATATCGTGTGTTTACTTTCCTTATCTTTATTTGACCCTCTGTTCACATTGTTATCTCTACCACATCTTGACTCGGCAAGGTCCGCCTGCAATATCTGCACCGCGGTAAACACGCCATGATTACGTCATGAACTTGAAATAGTGTGATTGTTGTACACTTATATAACCGTGCCCATCGCCCACGTACATTACAAACTGTTGGGGGGGGGGGGGGGGGGGGGGGGGTGGGGGCGGGGGATGGGGTTTAAGATAAACAACCGATCTTGATAGTGTGTTGGTCGCTCCTCCAACTGACTGTGATGCTAACCGTCCAGTCATGAACGGAACATTAACATTCTTTAGTTATAGCATGTTTCGGTTTCATTGTTCAATTGCGGAGATTAGTATTATTAAAAACATTTACTCTAATATGAGGTCGCGATTATGAACTGAGTGAGATTCCAAATGATGAACTGTGCTTTAAGTTTACACCAACTGGAAGCAAAGGAATAATGCATATATCCATGAGTGCTCCTTTGCTTAACTTAGACCTTTAGACAGTAAGTGTTTGGAAACGGAATCTAGGACACGACTTCACTGACAAGAACTGTATGTTCCAGGAGGAGGCAGTATACAGGAGGACAAGCATGGTTATACCTGACAGAGTTGAAGTACTAGTTCAACATGGTGCAGTTCATTTTTGCCAGGTTAGACACTAAAAATTTCAATTTGTGCTTTGTAATTAGTCATTGCCGTTTTAAATATGTAAACTTGGAGTCCTTCTCACAATTGTAATAAGAGTTTGTGTAACTTTAAAATGCTGCACTTGCCCTCAAGTCAATGGAATTCATTTTGTGTGCGGGGTGTTTATTTTAGATGAGATAACACGGAAGTTCAAGTATTGATAAAATCGATAACGGGTAATAGGTGCGCTGTTGAAATGGTTCAGTGAACCCCTCTTTAGTTCGTTTACCAGCTGCATTTTATTTCGGATCATGGGTTAGAACTTTGCTGTACGCTATTAAAATTGCTATTCGAAATATACTTGTACTGAATGTAACTGGTAGATATTTTAGCTGGTACCGTACACATTCGTGTCGTTTTTTCCTGTTCAGTCCTCCTCCTCCTCTCCCTATGTTATTATTCTGTTCCTGACTGGACGATAAGCACCACAGTCAGTTGGAGGTATATTTTATTTAAACCTGCTAATTGCAGGTATATTTTATTTAAACCTGCTAATTGCAGGTATATTTTATTTAAACCTGCTAATTGCAGGTATATTTTATTTAAACCTGCTAACATTTCTTGTCAGAGAATTCGTGTCCTAGTTTTTATTGTCAA